CAGGGATAATTACAAGGATTCTCATAAATTAGACTGGCCGCTACACATTCTCTTACAGCCCCTGCGGCAAATCCTGCATTTCCTCAGATAGGAAATTCTGTTGTTTTGGATAGTGTCCTGGCCAGGCAATAATGAGCTCATAATTACTAATTAGCAGTCTGACCAGTCCAAAGCTAAAACAGACTTAGCCAGCCAACTGTCTCTGCCAGCATTCTTGCCCCAGCGCCTACATCACAAACAACATGGCTCTGTGGGATAATTGTGATGGAGCTTAAGATGTTGTGACTTGCCATTGCAGTGCAGAGGCTGGTGGGACTGCTTCATGGGCACAGTCTCTAGTAGTGTCATACTGAATTAGCTGGACTACTGAATCAGTGGATTGATTGTCTGCTGCTTGGCAATACAGACAGCAGCAGAAAAAGGCAGCTGATGTTCTCAAAATGGGAATGTTTCAATTACATGATTATGTACAACTATGAACTTCTATTTATTTGCTCTGTTGGCCTTTTCATGTCTTAAAGTTAATATGTCAGTTGTGATTTTAATGAAAAAATATTTTACCTAAAATTAGTACAATGTTATTTTATTAATTTATTATGTCACAAATTATTTTGAAATTAATGCTAAATTATTATAAATGTTTAAAATATGTACAAAATAGCATTTAGAACCCCACAATAATGGTATGCAGTATGTAAGTATATTATTTATCAATGCATTTATCAGAAGTTCTCTATAAAGCATGTATAATGGTGACATGATTTTATTGTTAACAGGGAGGGACTATAACACCTTAACATGGCAGTTCTTCCTGCGGAGTGGCGCAGGCCTGCACTTTTTCTTGTTAAGAGATTTCAATGTGAATCAATAATGCTTGCTTGTTGCCAGGCTCAGCAGTGCTTAGTAGTGATTTCGCGGACTGGTACACTCAGAGTAGACAGGCAGGCAGCTGGGAAGCAATTTTGCTACATCACTGATGATGAGTCCCCAGTGAAGCAGCAGCATGAAACCAGTGGGGGAAAGTCTATTGGGTATTATATTTCAGGTTACATCTCGATCTTGTCAAAGCACAGAGAATTAAAATACATTGACAAGTTCCGACTCTCACCTGGCATAAAA